CCCCAATACTAGATTGGTGGCAGCGGTAAAGGACGGAGGAAGAGGTTAAGGAGGACTTTGCGAGACCTTTCTAGTGTCAGACGCGAAGTGAGATAGGGACCTGGCGAGACTTTTTTAGTGTCATACGACTGGTAACTCTGGGAGACCTTTTTAGTGTCACACTCGGAGTTTAGATAGGTTAGGTTAAGGTAACTCTGGGAGACCTCTCTAGTGTCATACTCGGAGTTTAGTTAGGGAGTTTGCTGAGACCATTCTAGCGTCATACAGCAAAAAGCTTCGCTGAGACCTCTTTAGTATCACACAGCAATAAGCTAGAGTTAGGCAAAACACGTACGGACCTGAGACCTGTCTAGTGTCACACAGGGAAGGACGTATTTTGAGGTTAGGAAAAGGGAAGTCCTCCGGAGCACGTCGCGGGTCGTTGAACCTCGGAGCCGAGGCTTGTTTGGGCGTTTGCCACAGCAAGTAAGTCTCTTGAAAATCAACAACCTAGTGACCAAGAGTCAGATAATGGAGAACGGCCAGCAGAACGAGTTGGTACAAGGCGTCGTCAACACTGACGACGAAGGCGACGCGAACCGCGCGTTTAGCGAGCCTGATTCGGAGCCGGACGACATGGGTGTCCAAGACCAGGACGTCGACAGGATGGATGCTGATGACAACAATCAGGACGACCACGTTTTCGTGCACCGAGGCCAAGGGCGCGGACGTGGGCGCGGCAGAGGCCGTGGACGAGGTCGTGGACGAGGCCGTGGCCGGCCCAGGATGCAGTTCGTTGTTGAAGAACAACAAGAACGTCCACAGCAGCAACCGGCTGGACGTCATCCTGGACAACACAGAGAACAGCTCCAAGCAGGACGGAGGAGGCGCCAGGAGCAGCCTAACGTTGACGGGGACCAGCAGCTCCACGACGAGGACACCGATGTCGACCAAGGGCAGGAAGCTGAACAGTGGCTAAACAATCGCCTTTTCAGAAAGCTGTTCGAGGCCATCACAAGGCCGGCGCCGAAGGCCAAGAAGTACAACGAAGTACCCAAGTACAACGGCGAGATGGACTATTCCGTGTACCAAGTCCAGTTCAACACGTTGGCGGAGGCCAATGACTGGGATGACAATGATAAAAAGATTGCACTGCTGCAAGCATTGACGGGGAATGCAACGGAAGTAATTGCAAACCTGCAACATCAGGAAACCCCAATAACTTTTGATAGTCTGGACCACGCACTGGTCAAAACATTCAGCAAGACTGCATCCATGTGGGAGAGAAAGTAGGATTTCGAAACTCTCCCTCAAGAAAAAGACCAGACGGTCGGGCAGCTTGCCAGGCAGGTAGAGATGCTAGGTAGATCATATCTCCGGAACATGAAGGAGAGTGACATACAGGAAGAA